GAAGAAGAGCAGTGGAGAGTTAAGACTCTGTTTAGATGCCCGAAATATCAACCAACACACAGTATCACAATATGAATCACCGTTAAATATCGAGGCCATTTTTGGAAGAATCACGGGATCACATATTTTTTCAAAAATTGATCTAAAGCATAGTTTTTGGTTAATACCTTTGGCTGAAAAGTGTAGAAACTACACTGCCTTTTCAATTGATGGTATAGTATACCGATTTAAGGTAGTTCCGTTTGGATTACAAAGCGCTTGTGCAGCACTTGTACGAGCTTTGCATACCATTTTGAATCACCATGAAGAGTTCATCGTCCATTACATCGACGATTTATTAATTTTTTCACAAGATATGCAGAGTCATGTGGAACATATCAAAATAATTTTGAAAGAATTGGACACAGCGGGATTAAAACTAAACATTGAAAAATGTCAATTTTTTCAAAAGGAAGTGATTTATTTGGGTTTCAAACTTGACACCAAAACTGTAAGTCTAGCCGAGGACAGAGTAAAGCTCATCGACGAATACCCAAGACCAACAAATCTAAAAACATTGCGAGGGTTTCTCGGTACGATAAATTATTTCAAGAAATTAATTCCCGATTTAAGCCAAAAAGAAATTCCTTTAATAAAATTGTTAAAGAAAGGGACAAAATGGAATTGGAAAGAAGAACAGGAGGAAGCTTTCAAAATATTGAAACAAGAATTTGCTAAAGGAACGAAAATATATCACCCTATTTACAATTTGCCGTTTATACTCCGTACGGATGCGTCGATACAGAAATTTGCAGGAGTGTTGTCGCAAATACAAAACGGCCAAGAGGTTCCGATATGTTTTATATCTCGAGTGACTAAAACACATGAGAAAAAATACAGTGTCACCGAGTTGGAATTCGCCAGTGTACTATTTTGCGTAAACAAATTAAGGTTTTACTTATTGGGAGCTAAATTCACCATCGAAACGGATCATGCAGCATTGATACACATCATGAAGAATCGATTGGTAAATAACAGAATACACAGAGGCATTCTGCTCTTACAAGAGTATGATTTCGAATTCCGATACATCAAAGGGAAAGACAACATAATAGCTGACGCTTTAACACGGGACGAAGATACAGGAAAAAAAGAGACAATTACATTACATGTGGGATTGAATATATTGACACAAGCCGAAGGAATATTTTCATTAAATGAGATAAGGACCGACCAGGAAGGCCTAGAAGAAAGAGAAAAGAGAAGAGCGGAGCTAGAAAACGGGATATTTTTTAAAAGAATAGACGGAAAGGAATTATATTTAGTGACACCGACATTGGCAGAAAAAATCATAAAGAAGCTACACGAGGAAAATGGACATATTGGCAGTAGAAAGGTATGGCTTGTGTTTAGGGAAAACTACATCAGTCGACAAGATTACCGCATTGCAAAAGAGATCACACAGAAATGCGAAGTATGCCAGAAATACAAGAGCAGGAATTTTAAAAACGAAAATATTGCAAAGAGCATTGTATCCCGGAACAACCTGGACATTATAGCCATCGACATGTTAAGCGATCTAATTGTGACCACCCAAAGGAACAAGCATATTCTGGTGATGGTGGATGTGTTCTCAAAATACGTGAAATTATATAGTTGCCGCACCACAAAAGGGGAAGAAATATTGAGAAAAATAGACAATTTCATCGCTACGGTAGGAACCCCAAGAAAAATTTTACTAGACAATGCAACGTACTTCCGAAATGATCGTTTCAAGGGACAGCTTAGAGAACGGGGAATCGAGACGAACTTTGTAAGCATCAGGCATCCCCAAAGTAATCCTTCTGAGCGATTTATACAAGAGGTAACGAAATTTCTTCGCATTGCAACGGATGGTCAACATCGGCGATGGGACAGAAAATTGGGAGAAATAGAGATGTACCTAAATTCCATGCCAAGTACAGTAACGAAAGAAACACCAGAATACATCATGAAAGGCGTCATGCCGATAAGACCGTGGGAAGATCCAGAACAAAGAGAGTATCGACAGGTTATAGAAACGGTTCAGAGGAGATTAAGAAGAAGCAATGAGAAATACATCCAGAGACAGGGTCATAATAGGAAACGAAGACCAGTAACTTTCCAAAAGGGTGACAAAGTAATGGTAAGAGCATTAAGAGTGTCAAATCTTCAGAGCGGTATTTGCGCAAAATTGATGCCTGTTTTCGAAGGGCCATACATAGTAAACAACGAAGATGGAGTAAACAGCTATGAGTTGAAACATATGGATTCTGAAAAGATCAGAGGTATTTATAATATCCATGATGTATATAAATATCACGAATGAAGATTTAAATTTGTATAAAGTAGATAGTAGGATAGGATAATACGTAGCATAAGTACAGCTAGCATACAGGAAGTGCGTTTTAGTTTGTCTCGAGAAAATTTAGTTGCATAGATTGATAAATTTTATCGATTACAAAGGCGGGGATTTGTTGTATTTTTGAATGTCCACTAGCAATAAAAACCGATATACAAATTTTATTACTTAAATAAAAATTAAGATTATTGATATTTCATAAAGACACGGGCATATAAAGTTTCAAACATCCTGTATAAGACAAAATATGTATTTTAAGTTGTTCAAAGAATTGTTCATTAGGCCTCAGAGACAAGACTTTCAAATATTATCGATAAGAAATTTAAATAAGTCGGTTATTGTGAAATGGATTTACCCGTAATAAAAGTGTATATAGAAAGTGTTTAAACAATAGACCGGGATGTGCGGTGGTTTTTCCCCCCGAAAGATTATATCGGTAAAAGTTTATTAACAAAAGACATTGAATTGAGAAACAGGTATCGTTTGTAGCTATTAGTAAGAAATATTTGTAAAGCAGATAGATTTAGTTAGAATAATTAAAGAATGTTGTTTTCTGGAATTACCCGAATGACGTTTTAATAGAGAGAGTTGGTTGATAACGATATACGTCACAGAGGTAGAAGATTTTTATTGGTCAATTTTTGAATGCAAGGAGGGGTGGTTTTGGCTATGAGATAGGAGAGAGGAAAGAAGCAGTCAGTTTTCGTCGCCCAAGAAGGAAGGAGCTTTGTGGTTTGTGTTTGTTTGAAGTCCCGAAGACGTAATTTACCGGGTGTGTTTATTTGCGGTGTAAAAGCTGATGAGTGTGAGGAACGGGGTACAGAGAGATAGAAAAACCAAAAGGTTATAAGAATATTAATAGCAGACGAAGCCGGAAACATTTGAAGTTATAAACAGGCGCGGAGATTGGTTCAAAAGGAGGCTGCATAGAATTACACGAGTTGTTGGGTTGCAGATACAAGGACAGAGAGGAGAAAGGTGTACGTCTTCTGGACCAAAATAGGAGCAGAAGCAGAGAAAGGTTTTTTTTTTATGGCGTGGCCATAGAATTGCAACGGCAGATAACGAAAGGTCAGTCAATTTTCATTAGAGCAGGAGTGTGGTTTCCATTTATAAATTAAATAAATTGAATAAATTATAGAGACAGTTAATTTTGCGATCATTTAAAAAAGAAAAAATTATAAAGAGAGCTTAGTTATAACACATATTAAAAATCAATGTAAAATAACATTTGGGTCCATGATAGAAAACAATTTCTCATATATTTAAAGTATTGTATTGCAAATATTACCGGATTGATTGTTATATAAAATTTCAATAAAATAAAGGACATCTCACATATACTTCAGTTGAAATTCTGTGTATTTTATTCAGGTCATATTACCTATCCCAATTAGGAAGCCAATTGGAAAATATTTTGAATCCACGATCAAAGGTAAATAGTACAAGTTAAATATCCTGAGATTGTAATTAATTAATGCTGATTTATTGTGATTAATTGGAGATTAGATCATTTAATAAATATAGACAGGATCTTTTCTAACTAAGCAATAGAATACAATTTAAATAGCATAACAATATATATATATATATATATATATATATATATATATATATGAGTAAGAAAAAAGAAAAAAGAAGTACTTGTGACTCGTTTGGAAAAAATATAACACTGTTTTTGATGGGTTGGAGTCAATAAAATAAAATTAGAGTCAATATATATATATATATATATATATATATATATATATATATATCGGTTTTAGAACGTCTTTCGACGTTGTCCGATGCCTAACTTCCACGTCCTTCTATCATCCCATTGGCCGTCTCTAAGATCTCTTGTACTCATTGCTTTAGTTACCCCTTCTTTCCATGTCTTTTTGGATCTTCCTCGTTTTTTGCGGTTTGGTAGTACCCACAGCATAATCTTCTTGGGTAGTCTTGTGTCTTCCATTCTTTGAACATGACCATGCCAAATCAACTCAATGTCTGTTGTTAAGTAACCATCTATTCCAATTCTTCGTCTTACTTCCTCATTTCGAACTCTTTCCCTGCGGGATATACCTAACGATCTTCTAAACACATCCATTTCTACAGCTTCTAATTTTTTTCTGTTCTCGGTTATTCTCCAAGTTTCTGCTCCGTAAAGTAGAATTAGTGACTCATAGATGTTATATTTTCGCTTTATTCCTATTTCAGAGCTCCAAAGTATTCCATTTAGGCAGTCAATTGTTCTTCTAACTTGTGTAACCATTTTCTTTATTTCCTCATCGTCTTTTCCCGTTCTATTGAAGATTACTCCCAGTGAATATACGTACAAATACGTATGCAAATTTCTACAAAAACTAAATCATTAATCTTGTGATAGTATAATTTTTTAATCTTTCCATAATATAAGAAAAGTCACCTAATGTGCACATACAAACATTATCTTTGATCTTTATTGGAAACAGATAACCACACAATACTGCAATATCATATCCAAATATCTTCTAAATTCAAATAATAGAGTCTGAGAAGGATGCATACATGCCTCGTTATAATGAATTCAGTGCATAATATAGTAAATATTATCATAAGTATTACCAACTTGCAAAAGAACTTTAAACTTAACAGTGTTCACTTAACTGACTCTTACTACATGATTTTATGTATTAACAAAAATCTTTTCTTTTCAGAAAAATACATCATAGATACACCAGGTTGTAGAATTGAAAACATAGATGCCTTCAATCCAGAAATCAAAGAACTCGTTTATAAAATAGATCCCATTACATGCAGTGATAAACCCTTGATGACTTATATATCAAGGACTGAAAATAAAGTTAATTTAAATATAAATAAAACTGCAGCTAATTTATATTATATTTTATTTAATATATTTAATATTAAGTGTTACTACCAAGAGGTTGCCAGAAATCCTATTGGTCCGAATCCAGATGATAATCTCATGTGAGTATTAAATTTTTTTTATATTCCTATTATATTATATTTCTACTAACTTAGTTTAGAGATTACTCGAGATTACTCGGTTACTGGTGATAACTAACTTGAGATTACTCAACATCCTTGAGTAATCTCAAACGGACCCTTTTATGCCGGCTTAGCAATGAACACCATCTTCACATTTATCGGTTGGACGTCTAAGTAGGGCTTACTTAAAGACTACTACACTATCAGAATATTCATAGAGAAAAAGAAACTTTTAAAACAACTCGTCGAAGACCAGTATCTTGTACGAGGATACATAGACTAGTTCCAAATATCTGAATGTTGACTCTGGTTTTCCTTGATCTAAAATATTTCTTATTAAAAAAATCTGCTGAAAAAGTTTTTGATTAAGTTTTTTGGGATTGCCAAAAGGTAATTATGATTTATTTTGGGGATAACAGTAGAACAACTGGGAATTACTATTAGATGATATTGACCTGTCATAATGCTGTCATTTAAACAATTCGGGATTTAGGATTCAAATGACTCGAATACCCTCAGATTAATAAAACGCCAACAAAAGGCGCAATATACAAAAAATTCTAACAAAACTTAAAAAACGAGCAAGAGGGGCCCACATCCTCGAACGCCGAGTCACCGGACTGGGCGTAGCTCATGGCGGGGACTCGGAGCCCGAGCAAGCAATACAGATCGATGGTAAGTCACTAGAGATACCGGGAATAGAATACGCTGGCCTGCATTATTCGGGTTATAATTTTGTGTGGGTTGCCTTGTACCCAGGCCACCCACATGACAAGCACTTTGCCGATAAGGGACCCTTCATAGCGCTATCGACGGGAAAGTGGATGGTCTAGGACATTGGAGCGGAGTGAGGTGATTCTTGTTTACGCTCGTTAATCCTCCTTGCTCCAGTGACTTGTATCACCCTAATGTTATGCTTACGGAGTGTGCAAGTCTCTCAGGCTAGGTTAAAGTATTGCTTGCTTGCTTGCATTCACAAGATCTGGCTCTGTTGGACTATTATATCTTTTCTCAACTGAAAAAAGTTTTAACTCCTAAATTGTCTTCCAACTAGAAGGTGACAGATACTGTGGTGGCCTGGTTTGCAAAGCAAGAAAAATTTCATTTTGAAAGATGTCTAAATGATGCAGGTTCATTGTAATAAATATGTCAAAATTTCACTTGCTTCCATATAGGGCTAAGAATTTATCAATACATTCTTGTATATATGTTTTGCGCAATATCTTTTTCTTTCAAATTCATTGTTTTATTTTATTTTTATTATTGTTGAGAGTTTTATCACTATGATCTAATTTATTAACTGCATACTGCTACAAGGTCCTACATCCAAGTAAGAATCTAGCAACTTCTATGGCTTCGGAGCATATTATGTATGTGAGATTAGTGATGAGTTGTTCACGACTGATCGGGATATTTACACTGATCCTTTTAAGCGTCGCATTTAGCAGCGTCGATAGAATGCTGCTAGGGTCCTGCTCTCTGCCTATCGTAAAAGGCGATTCATGGGAAGGAACGAGACATGAAGAGTGAAGAGCCGTAGTTTGAGATGTCGGGTTCGCAGAAACACACGCAGGATGTCTGGGCGTTACGGTCACCAGTCTGCGCTACTAGTATCCGAGAAGAGCTCTCGTGGGACCACTCTACTCCCATTCCACATAACCAAATTGAGGTTATAGGGTATTACTTATTTACTTTACAAAGGAACTACAACGTTGAAGGGATTTTATTGTTTTATGGTCAATGGACTCCCAAATATGAAAAAACCGCGGAGTGCTACCATTTAAAGGGGTGCATTTTTGAGATAAAGGTGATTTTGTCCCTATGCACTAGGGTTCATTTGGGTGAATTCTATGCACTTTTCGTACATATACATCTACAGAAAAGTTGTTAAAAATTAAATTTTTTATCTACATGTCACCTTTTAAAGTCAAATATAATTTGTTTTTACAAAACAAATATATTCAAAAAACGAAGGAAAAATTGTACGAAAACACGCGATTTTTATTTGCTCCATAACGGGGGTATAGGTATGAGCATTTCTTTGCAGAAAAAAAAATGGCAGTCGTAGCTCAGTGGCTGTGTTACTAGCTTAACAAACTGGAGGGCCCGGGTTCGAATCCCGGCGCCGACAAAATTTTTAATTTCTAATATAACTGAGCTGCCACCGTGCTTCGGAGGGCACGTAAAGCCGTTGGTCCCAGCTACGAAAGTAGTCGTTAAGTCATGTTAGGGGCGCTTGCGCGACCTGAAAACCGTAACACTAGACCTTAGCTGGAAGCTTACACGAATTTTACTTTTTTTACAGAAAAAAAAATGTATATTCTTCTTCTTCAAAATGACGTTCAATTCTTTAGTATCCTTCTTCTGCAAAGGAACTTTAGGATTCACAGTACCCAAAATACTATTTCCAAATGTCACAACATTTTTGGGTCATTTTTCCTATTTTTTCGTCAACATTGTTCAATATCTTTTTTCTACTCAGTTTTAGGTATATGCAATGGTATATTATCAAAAAAAAAATACCTTTAAAATTATCTACACTAGAAGGCTCTAGATTTTCCATAGAGCCTTAAGTGACGCTGAAGACGGAATCAAAATCAACGGACAGACTATTACTAATCTTCGCTATGCTGATGATACAGTCATAATAGCTGATAGCCAAGAACCGCTACAACGACTAATAGATAAAATAAACACTGAAAGAGAACGACTGGGCTTGAAGATTAATATAGACAAGACGAAGGTAATGGTGGTTAGTAGAACACGAAATATGCTGTTATAGCATATTTATATGCACATAGAGATACGTAGCAGGATTGAGCAAACTAGATCAGCATTTACTAATATGAGAACCTTGCTAAGCTACAGCAGCCTTAACTTAACGCTTCGATATCGCTTTGTAAAATATTACATTTACTCCATATTGCTATATAGTGTAAAAACCTGGATCATAAAGGCCAATGTCATGAATCGATTTCCTGGATAGATCACACAACAAACGAAGTATTAAATCGAATGGGCAGAGAACGAGAATTGCCGCCAATATTAAAAAGAAAAAAAAAACTGCTTATATGGGTCATATATTTCGAAATTCCAAGAACCAATTATTAAAGCTTATTATGGAAGGGAACATAGAAGGAAAACGGGCATCGGAAGAAAGAAATACTTATGGCTTAAAAACATGAGGGATTGGACAAACCTCGATGCCCATACACTCTTTAGAGCTACACAAGATCGAGAGGAGTATGCCAGAATTCTCGCCAACGTCCACTAATTGGATAGGGCACCATAAAGAAGAAGAAGGCTCTAGGATTAATTTTAAGCAAAATACGGTTATTTAAACTTTTCTACTGGTTCATGAAAATTTTCTTGGTCCATTTTCCATATATGGCAACATGTCCTGGTAAATTCCATTTCGGCGTTGTAGCTCTTGTAACGACCTCTCCATTGCTGTCTGTACCACTTGTATCTTATTGATTACTTTTCTGGTAAGAGTCAACGTTTCTGCTCCGTACGTTAGAACTGGAACTACACACTAATCAAAGAAATTTCTTTCGAAGCACATTGGAATATCTGATTTTCACAGTTTTTGTGTTTTCTACTACTTTTTTCAGTTTTCCGTAAGCTGTCCATATTATTCCTATGCTCCTGTTTAACTCTGTTGTTTGATTGTCTCTTTCTAATTTAATTTCGTGTCCCAGATACTTATAGGTATAAAGTTCACAGGTACGATCTATCCGGTCTGCAATAAGTACTATGTCGTCTGCAAACCTCAAGTTGTTCAGAAACTCCTCATTTATGTTTACTCCAATATTTTTCACCATAGCACTTTGTAATAAAGCGGTGAATAGTTTAGGAGAGATGGTGTCTCCTTGCCTTATCCAAAGGAAATGTAGCTGTTGCACTATTATATATATTTTTAAGAAGAGAAGAGTACCTATGATCAATACTGCACTCTGTAAGAGTTCTAACATGGGGCTATCCTGAACTGACTATATTCTATACCTTTCTCTATCAAGGATTTTCTTAGTTAGTTAGTAAATCCGGCTTGCTCTAGAGGTTGGTGAAAATCTAGCTTAGGTCCCAGTCTGTTAGTAATTATTCCCATAAATATCTTATATAAATAATCCTTCTTTTGTATGCTTATCATAATGCCACTATTCCATTTTTCTGGAAATCCTACATTTATTGATATTTTATTAGGATGCTGTTCCATATTTCAATACTCTTACTATAAGTTAAGACGACCTAAACTCCACAAGAGGAAAATAAGAAAAAAGATAGATGTCAAAGATGGTTCGAAAATAAATGGCACCTTATTTTCCGAACTTACCGAAGGATGAATTATATTGTCAGAACTCAATTATCATGCAGATGACACTAAGTTCATGACCGTAATTGCCTGACCTTTTTAACTAATTATAAAGATAAACATATCAGTCTCCATATTGGTTTAAAGTTAAATTTCGTATATATAGTTTGTAAGAAGTAATTGGAAGCGTAGTTGTAATTTAGTAATAATAAAGTTTTTAAAAACATAATTTCGCCACCGAATATCACTATAGTGTATTTTTATGTATGAGAGAGTAATAAAACAATAAATTATGTATGCAAATCCCTAAACTGTTGATACGGGTGACTCAATGAAAAACAGATATTTGTCAACAAGTTTACAGAAGTATATAGGAAAACAATTTTAAATTGAGTATGACCACCAGGTATAAAGGTTGGAGCAGAATAGAATACAATAGTTGTGAGGGTTACTAATCCCTAAATAAGGTTGCCAGTGTCGGAGTGATGGAGGTTAACAGGTACTAATGAATTTGCAAGAAATGTAAGATGTTTATTTTATTGGTTATATATAACCAATAAAAGTTTAATAAGTACCTACCTATTTGCAAAATAAAGTTTAATTCTTTAAATAAAATAAAACGTTTTATTTTATCTGAAATGAGTGCATTCCTTCTATACCATACCTT